TCCCTCATTTCTTTTGGTTGTGACTCACCTAAACATAGTGCCCACGCTTCTTCCTCCATCCTCCTTCCTCTTTAATCAGGGCTCAGCTTCCCTTCCTTTGGTTACGGCTCAGTCAAACACGATACGCTGCAACAACATTGCCTCCTCCTTTGACTAGGTTTTGGCATCAAAACACGTAAGTGATACACTACTTCTTTTTTCTATTCTTCTTATTCTTCTTCTTCTCTATGGTTAGTCCTACAACTTCTCTCACAGACAAGCCAAAATTTCTGGCTTGAAACATACCCTTCTCTCTTCTTCGATTCTTTTTCTCACTTTTTCTACTCTTTCTTTCGCTCACTTGTTTTGTTTGATTTTGTTAGTTCGAAAGGGATACAACTTTAATGTTGATACACCATCAACAAATTTCAAAGATTCAACACGATTCTTGAGACATGACACAGATTTCGAGACAATCTTTTGAGCAAGAAATCTTTTAATTTTGATTGAAAGTATTCCAGAGTTTAAATTTTAGCAAACTTACAGTCAAACGGATCAGGTCGGCAAGACAAACCCAATGGTACCAAAATCAGTTTAGTTTGTGCCAAATCAAGTTCAGATCAAGCCATTAAACCACTTTTGAAAGTTTTTTTTAGCATATTTGGAAGATTAAATGAATGTCGAATCTGGAGAGCTTATAGTCGAAGAGTCTCGAAAAGACGAATCTAAAGAGCCCAAGGTTGCTCAATTCTGACATCATTAAGACACTCAAATGTTCATCAAATGTCATCTGATCGAGGGAAACTTTCTGAGCCATCTGATCAAAGTGATTCATATTCCTGCATTAATTGTACCCAAAATTCTATAAATAGAGCCCCGACTATCTCATGAGGGAGGAAAAAGAGAACTTAAAGCCTGATGGGAGTCTGAGGCTTGAGAAATAACTTGAAGATTTGAGAATGAGCTCAAGTCCAACACTATTCCTGCCACCGTCAATTGTCGCCGATTGCCTTTGACCACCGAGAACCGCCTTTGACCACCGCTGTGGCCGACTGCCGTCGATCACTGTCGGCTACTGCCGACTATTGCCGACTACTGTCGACCACCTTTGACTAGCCGACTACCGCCTACCACCGCCGATTGTCGTCTACCACCGCCACCTGCCGCTGACCGCAATTGACTACCGCCAACCGTCGTCTAACATCGTCGACTACTGTCGACCGCCGTCGAACACCGCCAAACAACACCTGCCGGCCGCCGCTGATCGTTATCAGTCGCCACCAGTTCCCACAACAAACACATCTGTACATCAATAATATAACTTGGGAAGCCTAGTAACTCTTTTCCGCACGTGGGATTAGTTGTTGTAATTATATTTTTATAGTGGAACTCTTCAACTAGGTCAGACCTCGTGGCTTTTCCTTTTACGGGTTTTCCACGTAAAACTTTTGGTGTTATACCAATTTTCTTCTCTCTTCTGAATGTGTGTTGAATCTTTGTACCACGCTAAGACGATAATTCGCTACTCTACTGTCTCGAATTCTCTAACACGCATTAGTTTGACGTTGTATGTGGGAAACTTCGATCCCACCACTGAAGTGCATTTGCAAAGAGAGGGTAGCTTGTATTTTTGCTCAATTACATACAATTAGATGACCAAAAATAGAAAAGACAATTCTGCATTATACACATACCTTCTTATTTCATATAAAATTAGAAAAAAAATTTAATATGGACTTTGTTGTAGGATTACATTGCACTTTGCAAATGTTTTTGACTCCATTTTGCTTATTGTTGATTATTTTTCAAAGACAACACACTTTATTGCATGCTATATGATAATGGTAAATCATGTAAATGAGGGATTCATGTTGGGTTGGGATTCTAATTTTTAAGGGATTTATGACAGATAAATTTTTTTAATAATAAATATATTTGTAAGGGATAACTCAGAAGTAAATTTGAATTACTTCTTGATTTTATTATAAAATTTGCAGGAATTCTTGTGGAAATTTTACATCAGTAGAAACTAGCAAAAAGACGCTGGAAATCGCCAGAAATTGGCAGATCTTTTTGTGCTTGTAAATCCTTCAATGTTTACCTTTTTAGTATAGTGTTAGGTTAGGTCCTTGGTGGGACCTTATTCTAAATATTAATATTTTCTTTCGTCAGTTCTATTAAGAGGTAGATTGTTATGAGTTTCTTTCATTTTTTTTCATTTGTTATCAGTCGATCTACTTAATTTGCTCGACTCATATAATACATTTGAATTTTCATTTGCTCCAAGCATGCATGATATACATTGTAAATTCCACAAAAGCTTATATGATACTATGATAAGTATAAAATTAGGTGACCTTGAATAAAATAAGGGAGACTTGTTCCTTTTTAAGTTAGCCATAAGAGATTTCTAATTGGACCTCTTGAGAAGTTATTTGTTAAGTAATCTAAATCAGTATAGATTTTTAAGAAAAACTAGTAATGATGCTTAACATTGTACGATAGGTAAGTTCTGGTTGTTTTTATTCCTTTTGTAAGTAGTAACAAATTTTTTCTCAACTCCTTTGCCATCTTGTTGTTTGGCTTCCTCCTTTTAGATCAGATTTTCGAAAACTAGCTCATCACCACATCAAATAAAGGCATTCATGTATCTTTGGTGTATTATAAAAAGCCTTTCTCTACCTGAGAACTCCTAGTTGACTTCTAACTAATTGCAATAATTGAGACCATAACCAAAGATGAATCCTTCAAAGCCTTATCTTGATGTGGGTCATCTCGATCATTATCATCTTTCTAAAATCTATATTCCAACACGTATGACTGCTTGATTGCCTTTTTTATTTTCTTATGAAATATTCTCTTATGGACCCATATATTGTTGGGTCTCCTTAGTTGATTGTATTTTGGTCCCATACTGTCATTTTGTTGCTTGTATACACCATGTAGTGTACTACGGCATGCGAATATTGATAAGGGACATTAGCATTAAACTAGATGATACCATAGTTAACTGACAACAATTGGAAAAACAATTATTATTATAGAAATCAAATAGGAAATCACAATGAACCCACAGAGAAATTTGAAATTGCAAAAATACGACACCAACTCAAACTAGGGTTGGACCCAAGGGTAAAGATAGGCGGCTATGTAGGCAGGAAGGGGGTGACAAGTGGCTGGAGCGGTTTTGGTGGGTGTTGGCGGGATGTGGTGGCAGCAGGGGTTGTAGGGGCAGCTGTGAGGATGCTGGAAAGGTGGTCGCAGTAGGGTGGAGTTTGTGGCTTGAGGGATTTGGATGGGGGGTGGTGGCTGCAGGCTGAGTGCAGCAAGGCGGGAATGGTGGTCGACGGCTGGATCTACTGGAGGACAACATTGAGCGGCTGTCCTAGGTGGCTGGCGGCTGGATCTACCGAAGGACAACAGGGTGGTAGGCGCCTGGTTCTACAGGAGGATAGCAAGGAGCGACTGCCCAGATGGATGCAGCAATGGAGTATGACGGTAACATCGAAGGGGATGATGTTGGATAAGGTAGATGAGGATAATCATCAACTTGGGAGACTTGAATGGAAAAACAGAGATGCCGACGGCTGTCCCAAATAAACTCAAGCAAAAATTTGACCTAAAACAAGACAAAAGCAACATAAATAGTTCTAGGGTAAAACAGCATTGGACCCCCTCTCCCATTAGGAGGGAATTCTTTGCCAGGATAGACCGGCCGGTCTCTCCTATGCTTGGACCGAACCGGTCTAGGCGCAAGGGAGCTCCGCTAGACGCCTTGTGTTCCTAACGTAGTCACTCCTTACCCTTCCCTTAGAAGAAGCCAATTAGCTCGTTTTATCTTCTGTCCACCCTCTTGACCACCATCAAATCTATTTAGTTGCAAATTTTTGACATGCAACATCATCCTTTGGATTTCATGGTCCTTTCTTCTATCCTCTGTCTTGCTTTAATTCCAAGTCAAAATCTTACTTTGAAAATGAATGTTAACAAGTCCTGCCCTGAAACCTTCTTGAATGATCTTGGAGACCCTCCAATCATCTTTAAAACAAACAAAACGTTGATTCTTTTACCTTCTTTAACTATTACTGATTCTTCCCCCTCCATTCCCCTTTTTGTTGACTCAGTTAGTGGTCATTTGTGTGTATATATTTCCTTCTATTCTTTGCAATGATGCTTGATGGCAGAATGATAATCGTCTCTTTAATATTTTGTTATTTTTTGTGTGTTCAACCCTTAGGTGAATGATTATTATGTGCATGAGTTTTTGAAATGGAGAAGGATTTCTAAGGAGTAGGATCATCGTAATGAGCAGCTTACTTTGGAGTGGTCTATGACTCTTCTACTTCAGATGTTCTGATCATCCTTTAAGCTTATCGTTTTCCTTCTTCCTTTCTTAAGACATGGCATCTTGATTGGAACTTACCCCATAGTTATTTCATTATGATTTTGATGATACTAGTAACTCTATTGTAGTTATATAACTTAGCTGGATTGTGGAGTTTGTTGAATCATTAGTAAGCCTATGGTAGTTACGTATTTACCATAAGTGGATTATGGAGTGTTGAATTGTTGGTGTTATTGCCCATACTTTAGCATTTATATTTAGGTTGTATTTGTTCTGCATTAATTAATATTTGTAAACTCTTGTGACATCACTGTTAGCTGTGGCAATTCTGAGATAGTAGACTGTTACAATGTAAAACAAGGTTGAATAGAGTGTGAGAAGATCATTGACAAGACTGGGTGTAACATCTATCAATGACAGGTTTATTAGAAATTAATTTATTTGATTTGAGTGGTAAAATGTGGAGTAGAATATGTAATAGCAAGTTTCAGAATTAATGTGAAACATAACAATAAAACTACAAAGATTGATGGTAACGTTTTTACAAGTCATTAACAAATATTTAAAAATGATGAAGAAAATAAAGCTCGTGTAGATTACACACATAAGCTGATAGTTTTTTCTTTTTATGATTATGATATGAAAACTTTTAGCATGTGCGAATTTCTGCCTGCAGTGACATCTATCTTCATCGTGACAAAAGTTTGATGCCCCAGAACCCATTGGCATGGAGTTCTTGGAATCTTCTTGGGACTACAGAAGAAGGTGTTTGCCTGACATATTGGTTGAATGTGATTCAGGTTTGTGGTGCAATTTCTAGTCTATCTCTTAATTGACTTATATATGGTAGGAATCTATTGGAGAAAATGGACAATGGAAAAGGTTTGCATGCAATTTAAGCTTTGTTATCCAGAATATTACGTTTAATTGTTCCTCTTTCAAATGATTTTTCAGAACCTGGGATCCACTTCCCTTCCATTTCTTGTGACTCTCAACCCATCTTTTACTCCAAAGCATAAGATACTTAAGTGGACTACAAGTCATCCCATACCCTCAGTTGCAGCCTCAAAAGCCACTCTTGAGCTTCACAAGATCCAGGGTAAAAGGAGGATCTGGTTCTGTGGGGCATATCAAGGTACATTATTTTCTCTTATGGGGTATCCAAGCAGGATTAAAAATTTCTTTTGTTAGCATGTTGCATTTCAAATATGTATTCTTGAACCGCTTTTCATTGCAGCTTAAGATGTTTTTATTTAATATAATTTTGTGCACGTAAGAAGGCTATGTGCTTAGATAACATAACCAGGTTGATTCATTTTAAAATGCTCGGTGAAACAATCAAATAAGCTTGGGAATGCTTTGGATGCGTAGCTATTGTCAAAATATGCTGCAGCTTCTCAAGCTTCTGTTCCGCCTGACTTTTTTAGGAACACTGACAGTAGCCTGCTTGCTTCTTCTGTTATGATACATTGTAATGTTGCCGAGTAATGCTGTCATTATTCTCTCAATATATTGCATTTTCACATGCTTTTATTTCACAAAGTTTCTAGTGCCATTTCTGTTTGGTTACATTTTAATGATGAAAACTAATGAAATGGTTGAGGCTGACGAGAATGAGAACATGCAGATGAATATGTGGGAAAATTATAAATGATGATGGATATATTGGAAAATTAGGAATGATGGATTTAGAAATTATTGTTCAAGGACTATTGGAGTTGCATCTACTGAAGATAAATAAAGATGGCGAGTTGCAACTGGACAGTAGAGATGTGGGTTGGGGTTTGAACGTTCTTGGGAGAAGAAATGGAAAGCTGAAAGAGATAGGAAGCGAGAAGTCGAGTGAACTGAAAGGAGAGGAAACAAATAGTTAGAAGCTGAAGAGAGGAAGAGGGAACGAAAAATCGATCAAATTGAAGATGAGGCAAAGAATTAGGGAATCCAAAGGTTACTTCAACCTATAGAAGGGACGTGAGGGATGCGGTGGGAGACCAACTTACTTTGGAGCTGAGCAACTAGCGAAGGAGAGGAGAACGGCCCGGGAGAAGCCCTAGTCGACGACGACGCCTCAGGAAGTATTGGCTTCAGGGTTCAGCTGTGGAGGGACGATGATCGTCATCCTGACGTGATTGAATAAATTGAAGAGGAAGTCGCAGAGGAGATGACGTGCGATTCTGTGCGATCGAGCCGAAGAAGAAAGAGAAGGGACAGAGTGTGCGGGAGCCTAGGTCGAGCCGAGTCTTTGGAAGAGGTATGACAGTTTTTTTATTAAGTAATATAATAATAATAATAATAGTAGTAATAATAATAATAATATAATATATATTATTTGAGTAAAAAAATAAGCATAATAAAATAATGAAAATTTGATAAATAAATAAAAATAAAAAATTAGTAGTCCACTTAATATAATAAATAAATTAAATTTATATCGTGTTAGGATTCCAATTTAGAAAAGTCGTCGTTGGGCAAAACCTTATAGAATTAAGCATAACCGATGTGAGTTCTTTTACTTCTAAATTATGGTACTAAAGTTTTTCTTCAAAATCACTCGCATTAGAATGTTATTAGTGAAGATATATTGTTACTGTAACTAAAATATGATTATTCGGGCTTATTATTCAATTTGATCATCAATAAATGGATGTGAATGATTTGCATTAGTTATATGTATTTATGACACATGCATGTTATAAAAGAAAGATATTGGATGATATTTAGAACTTAAACAAAATAATCTATATTATGCTTGCATGTGGATGCTTGGCAATGATGGAACATAACTTTGTTAATACTAGTGAGGGAACACCAATGTATTCGTGCACGTAAATGAAAAAAATGTATTGATATTGAAGTAATAATTTTTAGATGGTGCTTTCTGTGATGGTTGTATGATAAATGGTATTGATATAGATCCATTGCATATCATATCAAAGATTTATATTAATTTATAAAGAAACTTAACTGACATGCATATTGTTCTTTTTTCTTGTATTGTTTTAGTTTAGAAGTGTGAGTATTCATTAGTTTTGTTTAGCTCACTGTTATTTTAACTATCTTTTAATATGAATAATAGACGTGAAAATATTTGTAGACGATGGGGACAACCGGTAACGATATAATTTTAAATTATACCTCTTTAATTAATTTATAAAAGCTCTTCCATCTGTTAAATTGAATGTTAATATAAAAAATTTAATTCACACAATTCGAACGTCTATATCCGCCTTGGTTAAATCGAAGCCTCGGGCTGGGTCATGATAAACGTGGTATCAGTGTTTGTTTATAAGAAGATTATTATCCATTGAATGTGCCAATAGGATAACTATAAACAAAATTTAATAATTATAAAAATTAATGATAACCTAAAGTAATAATTATTATTCATTCAGATAGTAACATACACTCAAAATTTTAGAAGAAGAAAATCTGATAAAAATGAAGTACAATCTACTACTAATGTGAACACGAATGTCCTCACCCACATATTGGCGACGATGACTCAGTTGATTGAGAAGTCCAAATCGCAACCTATTGGAAATGATACTGTCGCTTTAGATAAATGCTTGACGATATTATAAGATCTGCATCCACCATTGTTCAAAGGAACTGAAGTCCCGATTGATGCAGAGAATTGACTAATAATGGTAGAAAAGTTACTAGATAACATGACTTGTTCAGATGAAACAATAGTACCATTGACGATATTTGCGCTGGATGGACAAGCCGAAAGGTGGTGGCGTGGGCAGCATCATGATAGGTTAAAGGACATACCAATTCTATGATAAGTTGGGAAGAGTTCGTGAACCTTTTTAGAGAATGGTTCATACCAATATTCACTGATGACAGATGCAGAACAAATTCATCAAGTTGAGGCAAATAGAGAAGACAACCATTTTGTTTGAAGTAGAGTTCACTGCATGTCAAGGTATGCGTCACAGTTGATCGCTACTGCAGAAATAAAATATTAAAGATTTTTTTCGGGATTAAAAGATTCTATCAGATAACCGTTGGTACTTTTAGGAATCGATGTATTAGTGAAACGAGCTAGAAGAGGCTGATCGACTATCCGCTCACTCAAAAGCGTAAGGAGATGCAAAATTGGAAAACTACAGAAAACATTTAGATCCAATGAGAAGAAGTCTAAGAATAATTTAGGTGGAGTTAATAGAAATACGACTCAGAGTACTGGAGTCACTTGTACCAATGCGAAAGACAACATAAATGTGAATGTTTGATAGGCTCTAACACATGTTATTGGTGTCGTCAACCTAATTATATAGCAAGATAATTTCCATCTCTTGGTCAAAAGATCACTGAAGATTAGAAATCCGGTGGACCTCCTTCACAGATGTATGTAGGCAGGCAGAAAAAAGATAGATTCAATAGCCTCAACTCCTACTTAAGGTTAACCAAGACAACCGGTTTGACCTCAAATATATTCCCTCTCATAGTGAGCATGAAGAATCTACTGGTGTTGAAGGTGATGAGGTCTGATGAGTTTGTGTTGTTTTTCCTAGCATATTTCCTTGTTTCAGTAACTTCGTATTATTATCCGAAGTATAGTTGAGTCGCCTTTTATCGAGTTTTATGTTTTGGTGATTACTTTCATCTTAATGAATGACCCCTAATTACATGGATAGCTAATATTGATTTGCCTAAGGTTTGTTTATAAATTTTGAGCATGAAATTTTTGTAAGTGGGGAAAATTGTAACGTATTTGAGAGAAAAATGGAAAGCCGAAGGAAATAGGAAGTGAGGAGTCAATGTAGGGGGAAGAATAATGCTTAATAGAGGTTTTGTGTTATAATAATTTTGCTTCATGATTTGTCACTCCAAGAATTTGGCCATTGGGGAATTTATGGGCTTTGATAATCACAGTAATTTAATGATATTCTTTCGGATCAGGCCACCCAGTTAGAGGGCCCTAATAATTACTAGTTTTTTTTATGATTTCATTTGGTAGCTAAATCACATGTTCAAAGGACACATTTCATGTCCTTATTGACATGAGATGTTTGAGATTGAACATAGATATATGCTTAATACGATATTAACTCTTTGTAAGCTAAAGTTAAATCTTAAACTTGTCACCATCAACAAACTATTGTGGAGTATTGATGAATTATTTATTCCACTCTTAGGGTTGTATATTTTGCTTGAATATTTTTAGATTTTATAACTTTGTGTTTTTCATTTTTTTTTTTGGATTTGAGTCAAAAATAATATGCGTTAGGATTTGTTGCCCATTTCATTATAGAAGTTTTCTCCAATTAAAATTTTCTGTCAATGTGGCTATTATTAGGTTATGATGTTTGAATCATTTGCATGTGAAATTAAGACCTTAATTTTGAAAGAAAACTTCTCTAGTTATGTATATGATAAATGTGACCATAGTAAGGGTCATTTGATTTAATAAATTTGAGTGTTTTGAATCTTAATGACTATGCTACGTGTTTGTAGACTATTAGGAATCATGTTTTCATATGGTATGCGTCTATATAAATGTTTGTTGCATTACAAAACTTGTCACATTTGATTTAATAAATTTGAGTGTTTTGAATCTTATCGACTATGCTACGTGTTTGTAGACTATCAGGAATCATGTTTTCATATGGTATACGTCTATATAAATGTTTTTTGCATTACAAAACTTGTCTACTCTTCTCATGTGTAGATGATTGGGTCTAAAGGTTGAATTTTTAGCTTGCCGTACTAGCACAGTATGGGAGATTACTTTTTTTGAATTAAATTTTTTAATAAAAAATTTTGAAGACTATATGTCAATGAAAAATAATAAATCTTATGCAAAATTCAAGGTTGTGTGTTAGTCATCAATTTACTTGATTAGGTAGAAAATAAAGTTTTGAGCATCATCTTTTAATTAATGTCGTGATAATCCCCTAATGAGTATAAATTTTGTCAACTCCATCAAGGAAGACTAGATTTTGAAACGACGGGACTTATAACTCTGGTTTATTAACAGAGTGACATCCTTACAATCTCGCACAACCCCTATCTGTTTTGACTTCTAGCTTCCCTCTCATCCAATCTACTCAACTTCACGCTTGATACATGTTGTTCTTGGATTTTAGAGAAAACATGGGTTGAATAGGAGTTAAAAGATTGTGTTGG